CAGAGAGATTGATGGAGCTCACATGATGCAGTTCAGGCCAAGAGCTGCAGGCAAATGACTTCTGTCTTCACCCACTCAGAACAAGTGGGCCATTCCAGCTACGGGGTGTAAAACCATTGTGTTCTTGCACAAAGTAGCAACACACCACTGATATTTCTTTTACTTCTCTAACAGCTATGAAAAGAAAATTGCATATGGTGATACAGACTTTGTGGGGGAACAAATCCATTTCTAAAAGTTATCCTAAAGAATTAACTGCAGCTGCACACAGAGATGTCTATGGCTATATTATATTGATGTAACAGAAAAAAATATAGGGAACAAATGTAACTTAATTATGGAAAATCCACTGGAGGAATACCAAGCAGTTCTTTAAAACCATGTACAATGATATCTAAAAATATGGCAAAATAGTTACTATATGTTAAATGTAGAGGTTACATGATATGTATGGCATGGTCCCAGTTTTGCACATGAAAGAGTTTTGTGGCATATATATATAAGGGAAAAAGAGATGGCAAAAATATTTCTGGGTTTTTCTTTATTCTCCAATTTTTCTGCCAGAATATGTATTTCTTGCCATTTTAAGTTGAAAAGAACATTACTATTTTTAAAAAGATAAGATAAATAACGGTAGTAAGACCTTGGGAAGAAAGTCTCTATAATTGAACACTAATAGAGCTTTAAGCTTGCTAACAGCTAAGAAATGGAAAGTTTTCATGTTTCATAATAATTATTAGATAAATGTTTATCTTCTAAAAAACACTCTTCTTTATTCTTACAGTAGGCTTGTTAGTTAAGCTTCTATAACATGAAAACATTTTTATACTTGTAAACTATTCTAAGGGGAAAAAGGGGGAGAATGATTTGAAAGTACTGTTTGTACTGCATTCTTGATGTTTTCACTACTCAGTGTACATTTATCTTCTGGCACCTACAACCTGATTTTCTGCTCTGGAACCACCCCCACCCTCACTCTCATGTATAAGGGGTGAGGTGACATATCCCTAATTCCAAAGATGAGCATTAACTCAGACCCCATCAATTATAACATCACAGCCCCCAGCCCATAGTGATTGCTAAGGGACAGACTTTAACCTAATCATAGCCAACGAAAATAAAATTTTTGTGGGACTGCCGAGAGAGAAAAACACATGATCCTTTCTACTGGATTTAAATCTGAGAAGACAAAAAGCTGACACTGCCAGAGCCTTCTTTCCACAACTTAGAATCTGAAAATGAAGCCACCATAGGGAGAATGAGTGCCCAGAAATAGAGTGAGACTTAGCCTCTCGATCAAACTATACCTGAAGTTCAGTCAATCCCTGTACTTTTTTGTTGCATAAGTCAATAATTTCCCCCTGCCCTTTTTTTTTTTAACCCAGGGTGGGTTTAGTTTTCTGTTAATTGCATCCAGAAGAGTTCTAAATGATACGCTCTCAAGTTTCAAACCTCACAGGGATGGTCAAACACACTTTTTAGAAATTATAAATACCTTGCAGAGGCTGAAAAACACCCCATGAGAGTAATTAAGGGAAGCCATGATAAAGAAAGTGGTATTACTCCTATACATAAATCTCAGACTAGAAGTCTTGTCTTTTTTTTTTTTTTTTACTTTAATCATCCTCTTTGACTGGATAATTATACTCCTAAATAAAAACCCCTCCCTCAGAGTGTCCTTATAAAAAAATAAATGAGGATAAAAACATATTAAAATGGTTAGAACCAGACTTGGCACCCAGAGAGGTTCCCAACAAATTTTAGTTTCTTTCCAATGTTATTGTCAAAAAACAAAATGCATGCAGATGAGATGCCTATAAATTATCAAAACCTCTACAGTTATCCAAAATAATGTTCTCTGGGCTTCTTTTGAATTGAAACATGATCATAACATAGGATATGATATTTGCAAGAAAACATCCCCCAAAACAATGATACTGCTATATTTACAAATGACAGACCAAAGTGCGCACTTTATAAGAAGGACCTCATAGTGGGTATTTTTGCAGGACAATTGCAGCAACAAGAAAACTGACTCTGGACAGAGTTTATCACACAGAAAGCAGGAAGGCCTACTAAGGACTACGCACAGTGATGTATTTGATGTGCTGATCAAAAACACAAGGAGCGTCAAATTAGTTCTAGAGAATCTGAGGGCCCTGTCAACACATGACTACAAGAAGCTGTATCTCCCAAAACCTGGACTTCTCTTTGGAAATGTTGCAGATGCTCCCAAGAGGATCATACAGCACAGTGAGCATGGCTTTTAAATTACATGGGCCTAAAAAAAAATAATAATAAAATAAAATAAATTACATGGGCCTAAATTATAATCCCAGCACTGCTACTTTACTGGCTAAGTGACTTTGAGCTGTTTCTTAAACTCTCTAAGTCTTGGTTTTCGTATCTGTGACATCTGAGTAATGATATGTACCTTGTAGGAGCTCCTTCCCTCCAAGGTGTGCCAGTCATTACAGAAGCGCACAGATAGTCCTGTTCTCATGCCAGATTTATGGTAGATCTGCCCTATTCACTTGGAACCTGGGTGCGTTCTTGTGGTTTGAACTGCCCTGGATATGGATCATGAGTGAGAAATAGATTTTTACTTCTTTCTTATTTCAGCATAACCAAGTCCATCCTATCTGATCCACCATGTTAGACCCTTTCACATACATGAAGTCATTTCAAGGTATACAGTGGGACAATTCAATGCACTCAAAATTTGGAACCTTTCCATATCTTAACTCAATGTTAAGGTACTTCTAGAACTTTAGGTACTTCTAGAACTTTAAAAGCAAGTTTAGGAAGATTTGAAATAAAAAATCAACATGAGGGGCACCTGAGTAGCTCAGTTGATTAAGCATCTACCTTCGGCTCAGGTCATGATCCCACTGTCCTGGGATCAAGCCCAAGTTGGGCTTCTTACACCTGGAGAACCTGCTTCTCCCTCTCCCTCTGCCCTCCACCTACTTGTGCTCGCTCTCACTCTCTCCCTCTCAAATAAATTAAACATTTTAAACAAAATCAACATGATTAGAGAGTATTGGATACTATCTATGGCAAACTTTTCGTGTCCCAGTATAAATAATGTAAATTGCATAAGCTTTCTGAAGGACAATCCCACTCTGATTGAAATTTGGCCTACTGGGGCAGCCCGGGTGACTCAGCAGTTTAGCGCTGCCTTCAGCCCAGGGTATGTTCCTGGAGACCCGGGACTGAGTCCCGCGTCGTGCTCCCTGCATGGAGCCTGCTTCTGCCTCTGTCCATCTCTCTCTCTCTCTCTCTCTCTCTCTCATGAATAAATAAATAAAATCTTTAAAAAAAATTGGCCTACTTTAGGAATTTCTTCTTAGAAAATTAGGAGATACTTATGCAAGGAAGTATGTATAAGGATGTTCACTGATGTACTAGTTATAAGGGCAAAAAACCGGAAATGACCTAAATGTCTAACAATATAGGAAGCTAATTATATAGAACATGATAAATTCTTATATGGACTGCTGCACACCCATGAAGAATAGTGAGGTCAATCCACATTTTTTTAATACAAATACATCCATGATGTGTTATTTGTAAAAGAGTAAAATAGCGTATCATCTATGATTCTGTTTTCAAAAATATGTATTTGCAATACTGAACAAGCTACCTAAGTGTGACTAGTGACTATCTTTCTGTAATAGGCTACAGCTGATTTGCACTTTCTTTTTCCCTTCTGAGTGCCTGATTCTTTTTTTTTTTTTCACTACAGATATATGTGATTATTTTTGTACTCAGAAAAACTAATGAAGCCGTTTATTCTAAAAATGGAGGAAATTGAGTGGGAAGTAAGAGGTAGAGGCAGAAAGGAGGGGGGGGACTGAGAGACTAATCAACCCTCCATAAGGCGGAGGTTGTGTGTAAATCATGGCTGAGGACACTGGGAAACACCCAAGTTCTGCCAAGAAGAGATATGTTTATAAAATGATTGTAACCAAGTGATACCAAAAGCTGATCAACTATATTAGGCCCCAAGAAAAGACATTTGTAAAAGTTGTTCAATATGGAGTGTAGAAAAAAAAAAAAAAAAGTAAAGCAAAAAAAAAAAAAAAAGTAAAGCAGCCAAAATGTGTCACTATGTCTAGAGCTGCTCTGTGCCATAGGACAGACTATCCAACAGCTACATGTAGTTACTGAGCATCTGAAGTGAGACTGATCTAAACTGAGATGCACCATAAGTGTTATATAAACAATATTTCAAAGACTCAGCATGAAAAAAAGAATGTAAACTCAATAATTTTAACACAGATTATGTGTTGAAATAATATTTCAGATATATTGGGTCAAATACAATAGATTATTTTATTAACTTCATTGTTGCTTTTTAGTTGTAAGGTGGCTACTAGAAAACTTAAAATTCCTTAAGTGGCTCACATTTTCTTCTCACTACGCTGGTCTAAATAATTGTTCAGAGGAAACAATTTTATTCAGAGGAAACATTGTCAGCTCTTGTTCAATTCACCCATCAATCCATCTACAATCCATATTTATCAAACGTACAGTGTTTGACACCTGATAGAGCAGTTTCCAATACTTTTTTTTCTTAAGGCTGGACTTTTTTTTTTCTATTTGCCCAATTTTGAGCACTTTCAGTGTATTTATGCCAATGTATGTGAGGCTACTTCTATCTCAAATTTAAGCTAAAATACTAATCAGAAGGTAGACTCTTTTTTTTTTAAGATTTAATTTATTTATTCGTGAGAGACAACACAGAAAGAGAGAGAGAGAGAGAGAGAGGCAGAGACACTGGCAGAGAGAGAAGCAGGCTGCATGCAGGGAGCCCGATGCAGGACTCAATCCTGGGACTTGATCCCGGGACTCCAGGATCACGCCCTGGGCTGAAAGCAGACACTTAACTGCTGAGCCACCTAGGCATCCCCAGAAGGTGAGACTGAAGAAAGTTAGATGTATTCAGAAAAAGAGAAATTAGTCCCTGTGACTAGAGAAACAACATAGCATTTCACATCTTTCTGTCACATCTTTTATTTCTTTTCAGTGAAGAGAGAAAAAGCAGGTGGTTTAATGCAGAGAACTCAGAAGTGCAAATCAGGCCCTCCTCTGGGTAAAATATAAGCAGGTAGTCAGAGCCTTTCCACGGATTTCATACCAACATAAATTCCAGATGGATTAAAGAGACACTCTTTAAACTATAAGAAAAACTAGAAGAATATTAAATGTACTATGTAGTTAACCACTGAGACAAGAGGATTTTTAAAAAAGAAAAGAAGAGGAGAAAAGAATGAATAGATTAGACCATGTACAAATTTAAATTTTCTAGACATTAAAAAAGTATAGAAATAAGAGATGAGAGGGGTGCCTGGGTCGCTCAGTTGGTTAAGTGTCTTGTCTTTGGCTCAGATCATGATTCTAGGGTCCTGGGATTGAGCCCCATATCAGGGCTCCCTGCTCAGTGGAGAGTCTGCTTCTCCCTCTCCCTTTGCCTGCTGCTCCCCCTGCTTGTGCTCTTTCTCTGTCAAATAAATAAAAAAATATTTTTTAAAAGACTTTAAAAAAATAAGAGACAAAGTATTTAGAACAAACAACATAAACATTAAACTTATTTTTTTTATTTTTTTTAAACATTAAACTTATTAAACATATAGATCTTAGACAAATTGGCTTAAAAATACTTGGAACCCTAAAATTTAAAAGCCTGAATCATAATTCATCACAAAGAATTATAACCAGCAGGCAAGCCCATGGAAAAAAACATTCACTCTCTTCTGCAAACAAATGAAAATTGAAAGTAAATTATCTATTTCACCTGATTGCCAAAAATACAATCATGATTGTTTTATTTGAGGCTGGTGAGATGTAGTGACCTGGCTACTAACATATATCTAATGGTTCTGAAAATTTGTGTAAATTCTTTGAAAAATATCTGCTGTAAAAAGACTGATAGAGTAATCCCACATCTAGGACTATATTCCAAGAACAAAAACACTTGTCATAGAATTATTTGTAACATTTAAAAAAAAACAAACCTCAGTTTCCAAAAAATAGGCAAAGGTTTATGTAAAATATGGGATAATCACTCAATAAAATATTATGTAGTCAATAAAAATGTTTGCTAACATGGAAAATAGGCTATGATATATTTAGTGAAAAACTAGGATTTCAAATTGTATATACAGTATAATTAGAACTGTAAAAACTGTTCATTTTTTAAAAAGAAGGAAATGTTCATTGTGTTTACCTTTCAGCAAGCAAACCATAAGTTTTATTTTTCTCCTTTCTGTTTTTTTTTTAAGATTTTATTTATTTATTCATGAGAGAAACAAAAAGAGAGGCAGAGACACAGGCAGAGGGAGAAGCAGGCTCCCTGCGAGGAGCCTGATGCGGGACTTGATCCCAGGACCCCAGGATCACAACCCGAGACAAAGGCAGACTTTCAACCACTGAACCGCCCAGGTGTCCCTCCTTTCTGTTTTGTTTTGGTTTTTTCCTGTATTTTATTAATGCCTTATGAATGAGCATTATTAGGCTGAACAGTAAAAATAAGTATTAAAGACGCCCCAAAGATGTCCATGTCCGGATCCCCAGAACCTGTGAACAGGTACCTCAAATGATAAAGGAGACTTCGCACATGTGATTAAGGATCTCAAAACACACGGATTATCCTAGATGATCTGGCCCACTGTAATCACAAGGGTCCTTCTGAGAGGAAGGTGGGAGGGTCAGAGGAAGAGGCCAATGTGATGACAGAAGCAGGGGTTGTGGTCAGAGGGAGAGATTTGAAGAGGCTACAACCTCTGCCTTTGAAGACAACAGAAGGGACTATGAGTCAAGGAACGCAGGCAGCCTCTAGATACTGGAAGAGACAAAGAAACCGATTTTTCCTTAGAGCTTCCAGAAGAAACATATAGCTGTTAACACCTTGATTTTAGGACTTCTGATCTCCAGAAATGTAGAATAATAGATCTGTGTTGTCTTAAGTTGTGGTCATTAGTTACAGCCGCAACAGGAAATGAATACAAATATATACCATTTTTGTAGAGGAAACAAACTATTTGGTTACAAAAAGCTTTAAAAATAATGTGTGGGTTAATATTTGTAGTTTAGTATGACTTCATCACGTAGATGTTGCAAAATATAAAAAGCAAGAGAGCTTAATAGGTTTCTGATGAATGTGTCTCATCTCTTCATTCTCCCTGTCAACACAGAAATGCCTCACTACAGAGCAATAAACATTGGATTTGGGGTAATTTGCTCAATAATGAAATCTAGTACGCAAATGTCTGAGAAGCAGACAACAAGCAGTAGGAAAGAGAAGCTAAAAAAGGGATAAGGCTGATGAATCATAAATAAAACACCCCCTGAGTTGAGCAACTCCAGATTTATGCAAATTCAACATGGCACAAAATTTTCCAAAAGGCACATACTACAATTTTAAAGAAATAGAAAAGATAGTGCATGAGCAATGGAAATACAGAATAGTATTATCTCATCACTTGTTTTCAGCCTGTTTTCCTTTTATCCAAACTCTTATCTCTTTCCTGACTCCTGATTTGACTTCAGGTTGACACAACCCTGCTCCTGCTGCTTTGGTCTTGGTGTTTTAATCACCCGACTAACTGTCTGGCTCCTGGCCCTCAGCAATCCCTCCAACGTCCTCTCTCCCCAACACTCTAGATTTGCTCTACCATTGGGTACAATTTCTCCATTGGGTACAATTTCTGGTCTTAACTAGCTCACCTCTGAAGACCTAGCCTCCAATCCTCTGATGTGATGAAGGTGAGGAGGTGAATAACCTTAGGCCAGTGGGCAAAAATACCTTTGAAATAAAGGTAGGGGCACCTGGATGGCTCAATTAAGCACCTGCCTTCAGCTCATGATCCTGGGATCCTAGGATCGAGTGTTGCGTCGGGCTCCCTGCTCAGTGGGGAGCCTGCTTCTCCCTCTCCCTCTGCTGCTCCTCCTGCCTGTGCTCGCTCGCTCTCTTTCTGTCAAATAAATAAATAAATAATCTTAAAAAAAAAAAAAAGAAAGAAGGAAAAGTAGAAGAGAACGAGGGAAGGAGAGAAGGAAGGAGGAAGTAGGATAAGGGGGAGGAGAAGGGGAAGGGAGACAAAGGAGAGAAAAAAGGAAAAAGAAGGGACAGAACTGTACAATCTAAGACAGTCACCAGTCACTTTAGGGGGAAAATATTCAGAAAGCTTGAAAACTATTCCACCATACATGAAGTGTTTTGACAAATACAAATTTTAGGTAAATGGCTCATTAGCTGTCTTGGCAAACTGGTTTTAGTGAGTTGGCCTATTTTCCAAGCATGCCCTAGCACCACTCACATAGGTATAGCACACGGAAGTTTCAGCATATCCTGAAAGAGGAGAAAAGTGCCTCCGGCCATCATAGTGTGGAGACAGTCTGCTCAGGTCCCCTACTTATCTGGTTTTGTCTGCACTCATCAGACAGCCTTCTCATTATAATTTGGCTTCCCATGTAGGCTTTCCAACTGAGAGAGAACAGGCTGACCTGTAAGTGTGAGTACCCTGGTCCCACTGGTAGTTACTCTGCATGGAAATTAATAAATCAGCATTATCCTGGGAATTTGACGGACATATCTGTTCTTCAGAGTCTAAAAAATTTTACTGCACTGAAAAAGAGTTTTATATTCATGTCTTAGTTAAAGCCTTTTAGGTTGCAATTCAATGAAACCCACTTTACCTAGCACCAGCACAATGTGAGGATTTATTATAAGATGGTAGTGGTGTGGGGCGCCAGCATGGCTCAGTGGTTGAATGTCTGCCTTTGGCTCAGGTCGTGATCCTGGGGTCCTGGGATCCAGTTTCACATCAGGCTCCCTGCAGGGAGCCTGCTTCTCCCTCTGCCCATGTCTCTGACTCTCTGTCTCTCATGAATAAATAAGTAAAATCTTTAAAAAAAAAAAAAAAAAAAGATGGTAGTGGTGTGTCACAGAACTCAAGGGCAGAAAGGACAATTAGGACCAGGACCAGAAAGCAATCAGGACTAATGCTCCTGCCCTCACCCTGGGTCTACATCTCACACTCCTGCTGCTGTTCCCTTTCTTTCTCACACTCTGCAGCTGCATGGACTCTCATTTCTATTTCCCTCTTCACACCCGCTTCATTTCCCTCTGTCTTTGCTTCTCAGACATGCAGCTGAAGAAAGCTACTTCTCACCTGCCTCAGTGCCAGCAGCCAAGACAGACAAACAGCTGTGAATCCCGAGTCTAAATTCCCACAAGAAGAATCTGATTGGCCCAGTTTGGGTCGGGTATCCACCCTGACCAAATTTTCTATGCTTGGGGCTTGGGGAGCACTGGGAGCAGGAGGATAGGCCCAGCTCCATGAAATTGAAAACCATTTTCAGAAGGAGAAGGAAGATTATGGAGGAGGCAAGCATGTCCCCAAATTACCACAGGTCTACATACCTGAGATTCAGAAGTGTTTCAGAATTTGGGGTTTTTATATTCTAGAATATGGTTGTGTACTTCACATACTGCATCCCCAGAGGAGTCAAAAAGCAGCTTCCTGTAATCAAATACATCAATATTTTTACAGTGAAAACATGAATATTCATACAAAATAAGAAATGGGGATCATGGATAGCCTCACATGAGTTCAAACCAGATTTTGCCTCTAAAGGAACTATGAAAATGTTGTTGTTTTTCAGAGCTTCTGGATTTCAAAATAGCAGATGATAGATTTAGATTGCACTACTCTAGGCTTACAAAGTTGAGACCAGACTGTGACGGTATCAAGGCTCTTCCTACAAACATTCCCTAGGTCTTTGGACCAGTGGCATCAATGTTACCTGGGAGATTGTCTGAAATGCTGTTTCTTAGGCCCCAGCTCAGACATATTGAATCAAAATTTGCATTTTAAAGAGATGTCTTAATCTGTTCAGGCTGCTATCACAAAATATCATCGACTGAGCAACTTAAACAACAGAAATTTATTTCTCACAGTCCTAGAGGCTGGGAAGTCTAAGATGAAGATGTCTGCAAATCAGGTGTCTGGTAAGGGCCAGCTTCCTGCCTCATAGTCTTTTCAGTGTCTCACTGCCAAAAAAAGGTTAAGGAGCTCTGCAGAGGATCTCTAGAGTAAAGTCATTAATCCCATTCATGAGGGTTCCACCCTCATGACCTAAGCATCTCCCAAAGGCCCCATTTCCTAATGCCATCACATTGTGGCTTAGAATATCAACATATGGATTTTGGGGAGCCATCAACATTGAGTAGCACCCAAGTACTTTGTATGCATATTAAAGTTTGAGAAAGCACTGCTCTACGTGGCAGTCAGCCTCCCTAAATCACCAGTCTGATCTCCAACACACATTTGAAATTTTTTTGTTTTGTTTTGTTTTTAAAGATTTATTCATTTGAGAGAAAGCAGGAGCACAAGCAGGGTGGAGAAGCAGAGGGAGAAGGAGAGGTAGAAGCAGACTCCCCGCTGAGCCAGGAGACTGACTTGGGGCTTGATCCCAGGACCAAGAGATCATGACCTGAGTCAAAGGCAGTTACTTAACCATCTGAGCCACCCTGGCGCTGCAGCAATACACATTTGTATAATCATCCCTTCTTATGTGTTTTTCTGACAATAGCTCCATAGAAAAATGTGTATCCGTTTTCACAGTTAACAAACCATAATTTTTACAATAACAAAGAGCTCCAGATCTGTGCCATGCCACTCACCACTCTGCTCAACAGATGCACAGGCTCTCTCGCTGACACCCAGCAACACTCAGTGAATACTTCTTCCTACGCTAGTATTTAAGCTTGTGCACCTGGGTAGAGGCTTATTTTTATGAAACTACATTAGAGAATATTTGTATAATCCTTCATGAAAATGGATCCAATATGATACAAAGCAGCTAGAGTTATCATTAAGAAATTATTTAATAAAGAGTCCAAGCAAGGAAAACACAGAGCAGTAACCAAAGTATTAGTTATTTTTTCCTCTTACATAAAGAATAGAATTTTCTAGAAGGACACACAATACAGATCCATACCCAAAATGTTTTTGCAATATCACAACAGCCTTTTGACTTTATATCTTTACCCTGAACCCTGTTGTTTTGGAATTTATAAGGACAGTAAGAAAGGAGTAAATAAAGTTTTTGCGAACAATAAGATTTATTCATTGAATTTACTTTCGGGTTTTTGGGAGTAGAAGAAACCTCCATATTCCAAAGAAAATGACAAAGTTATGAGCACAGAAGTGACTCTCAGACTATAACTGCTTCCTGCCTGCCAGAAGCACCAAAAGGAAAATCATTAAAAGAACCAAACTGTGATATTGGGAGCTTTTAGGAAAATTCAATCATAGTGGAAAAAACCCTAAGAACCTGCTAAGAGTAAGTGACCCTTCAGCAAACTACTGTCAATAAGGGGTAACCGACCCAATAGCAACAAGCAGAAAGATTTCATTGGATGCTTGTCTACCCCGAGTCTCCCACAGTACTGTGTGTTTTTGCCCTACCATGTGTCTGCCACAGCTTCCGTTTTTCAAAGGAGGCTGTGACCCCATAAAGGGTAAGCATTAATCTTCTTGTACCTATTTGAACTATTTATATTTCCCCACACCTATTTTGGTGCTTATACCACATCCTCTGCTGAGATCTCTCTCTCTCTCTCTTCTTTTATAAGAAGAGAAGTCTTTTATAAAACTTCTTTTATAAGTTCACTCTACTGAATGTCTACCATGTGCTAGATGCTGGAAAAACCACACTGAACAAGCTGAGAGGGTTCTTACCATTTGGCATTTGGCTTCTGCTCACCCTTCAAGGCTTAGCTCAGGCCTCAGATCCCAGGAAGGCTAAGATATGCCCTTCATTTCTGACCTCTTGATACCTACTACTTATCTTTGCAATTTTATAGAGAAAGTATCTGTTTATGTGTCTTCTTCCCCACTATAAGCAACATATGGGCTCAAGCTAACTTTGTGCTCCCTGATATACAGCTCCTGGTACACAATATGGATTTCAATAAACATTTGCTGAAAAAGAAAGAAAAAGAAAGAAAGAAAGAAAGAAAGAAAGAAAGAAAGAAAGAAAGAAAGAAAGAAAGAAAGAAAAAAGAAAGAAAGAAAAAAGAAAGAAAGAAGAAAAAGAAAGAAAGAAAGAAAGAAAGAAAGAAAGAAAGAAAGAAAGAAAGAAAGAAAGAAAGAAAATTCAAGATTGATTTTTTTTCCTACAAAACAGAAACAAATGGTCCATCCCCTACGAATTTCCTGAGACTACTGAAAAAGTCGCCACAGGATAGAGACTATTATGAGAGTCTATTCAGAATCAAGATGAATTTCATAGTTAGATAATTTATCTTCCTACTAATCTCTAAGATCTGAATCAACAGAAAAATATGCTAAGGATGATAGCACTGCTAATAAATGTGAGTGGCTGCAAAATAAGCCTTATCCTTAAGACCTGATTTTGAAAAAGGACCCAAATCGTATATTTTCACATGATACAGAGATCCAGGAATGGAGTCTGGGATGTGTGTTCCTCTGGCTCTGTGAAGCAAGACCTTTGGAGGCATGATTTCTGCTTCCTTTGACTTTTCACCTGCTGCAAAAGCATCACCTTACACAGCAGGTGGCAATGTTCTTTGAAGGCATGATGCAGTAAGCCTTCAAACATAATCTCCAAATCTCCAGTCTCCAAAGAGACTCCAAAATGGGTTGATGAAATATTTCAGGAGTAATGGCTAGGAAAAAAAACCAGTAATTTTCCAAAGCTAAGATTCTAACAGAAAAAGGGAGAGAAATGACTGGAATTCAGAGAGCAAACCCTTAAAGGGAATAGGGTATGATGTTTGTCCATTTAAAAAAAAAAATTGGGATCCCTGGGTGGCTCAGCGGTTTGGCACCTGCCTTCGACCCAGGGCCTGATCCTGGAGACCCAGGATCGAGTCCCACATCGGTCTCCCTACATGGAGCCTGCTTCTCCCTCTGCCTGTGTTTCTGCCTCTCTCTCTCTCTCACTGTGTCTCTCCTGAACAAATAAATAAAATCTTTAAAAAAAAATTAAAGAAAATTGACCACCCTACCAAAATTGTTCACCAAATATAATGAGGCCCTTAAAATTATTTCCCAGTTTACAGAAAGTGTCAGGGCTCTGTTAAAAGAAATTAAATGAGGGACATCTGGGTGGTACAGCCAGTTAAGTGTCTGACTCTTGGTGTCAGCTCAGGTTGTGATCATGGGGTGGTGTGATTGAGCCCTGCATTGGGCCCCATGCTGAGTGCAGAGTCTGCCGAAGTTTCTCTTTCCCTCCACTCCTCCCCACCTCACATATGCTCTCTCTCTCTCAAATAAATAAATAAATCTTTATAAAAAAAGAAAAAAAGAAATTAAGTGATACCACCTGGAAGTGATCAGATAAATCAGAAGGTGAACTATACCTCATGACAACTAGCCTGGCCCCCAAGTGCCAATGTGATTTTTCAAATATGAGGGGAGAAGGATTGCTTTAGAATAAGAGAGATTAAAATCCATAACAACTAAATTCATGAACTCTGACTGAGTCCTGCTTCTAAAGCATTAATTAAAAAGTTCATATTGGGGACAATGGGGAAAATTGATTATTCATATTAAATGATATTAGCAAATTATTATTAACAATAATTAGATGGGGATGCCTGGGTGGCTCAGCAGTGGAGCATCTGCCTTAGGCTCAGGCATGATCCTGGAGTCCTGGGATCAAGTCCCACGTCCAGCTCCTGCATGGAGCCTGCTTCTCCCTCTGCCTGTGTCTCTGCCTCTCTCTCTGGCTCTCATGAATAAATACAATCTTTAAAAAAAAAAAACAATAATTAGATGTTATAATGGTATTATTAGGTAGAAGAATATCTTTATTCTTAGAAGATGCAAAATAGTGAAGTATTTAGGAGGGAAAAGTCTACAATTTACTTTGAAGTGTTTCACATATAAGATTTTCTGTTAAAGTAAATATGACAAAATGTTGCAATTGCTTTAATTCAAGATCAAGTGCATGCAAGTGTCACGGTTCTGTTCTTTCAATTTTTGTTTGCTTGAAGAATTCCACAATAAGCAGCTAAAAGAGAAGAGATCTTGATCTCTCTTTCAAGAGATCTTTTCTCTTGAAAAGAGAAGAGATGAAGATCACAGATCCATTGAACATTGGATTTACCATGGGTGGGAGTTCAGGCACCTGAGAAGGGAAGTCAGTAAAGACTCCAGGACTTAAAGGGATCACAAGAAGATGAGAGTCAGCATCAAGAGACTGTCCCACCTGAGCCCAAGTGAGCACTGTCAGTGGGTAGGGCCAGGGTGCCACATGGGAGCTCAACCCAGAATTTAGCCAATGTTTGCCTTTCTGATGAGCCCCTTCTGCTGCACTCATTATCAAGTGAAGGCATCCCACCAACAGTTGCCTCTGTGTAGCCATGCCTGGTCCAGCAGCAACAGTGCCCACCCATGTCTCAACATTTTTATTTGCCCAAGAGATCTACCTAATGAGAAAAATCCTATTTGCAATGGCTCAGGGTACTCAAAAGCCCTGCCAAAGGGAAGAAGAGGATCTTAGTAGGTCCTACCCTCCACTGCCTGTACTGGGGTAGGATTGAATGGAACCATTTCAAACAAGAGTGGTTAATAACCCCCCTGCCATGTGACACGTAGAAATACCCAAACATGATCCTGAAGGAAACTAACAAAGAATGGCTCAAATAAACAAACAAACCCAAAAACTTGTCTTTTCCAAGTAGACACCCCTTCAGTTCCCAGCCGTCCGGGACAGTGATAAATGAAGCACCGGAAGAAACAATTCACTGTTAGTTCAGCCACTCAGAAGTGGAGAGCGATTTAGCACACTTCCACACAGAAACATTATATTCCATAGATTCTGAACCTCTCTTGCCTCCTGTTTTCCTAATGTCTTGTTTTTTTGAAAATGTGACTAAATCCAAAGAACAGACTATAGTCCTAATGATTTCATCTCTTCTCCAAGTCCCTGCATTTTATAAATAAGCCAAAAGCATGAGGTAGACAGTCCCAACATAATGGCAATTTGTAAGTTCTGCTTGAAATATTTTATGCTAAACAACATTAACAAGTTACCAATCATCAGAATAAACCACACTATAATTGTGTTATTTACAAATCAAAACATAAGTAACCTGAAGGTTGCTGACCTGTACCAGCCAATAGGTACAATGAGTGTCACGGTCACATTAATGTCTGAATCTCAGCAGCCCGGCCCCCAGTACAGCTGGTGAAGAATTACAGTCTCTTAAAAAGTTTTGCTCCAGGACTCTCCAGGAGTCTATAAGGAGCTTGACATATGAACGTGAATCAGCTCAGGCCTCCCAGTGCTGCTGGCCTGTCTGTGCAAACCGAGCTGCTGATGTGCCCTCCGCCAGCCCTGAGATGTGGGATACCTGCCTGCCTCACATCATCTCAGTGACCAAAAAGCCCACCACTGTCACCACACCGACTCTGCTAAGCTAGATGGAGACCCTCTCTCTGACACCAGATTGCTGAGACACTGGTGCTTATGATGGTGCTACTCCACTCCCCAGTCACTGCCACAGGGAAGAGGAGAATAGCCCCGATCATCCTGCTGTGACTTCTTTGACAGGTTTGCATTGGGTCCCAAAACATTACAGAGTTTAATGATTTTCTAATTTTTATACCTGGCCCTTCCTCCTGGGGTGCTAAGGGGTCTCCATGCTGCTCTCCCCGAACGCTGGTTGTGGCCCACCCTGCCACCTTACATTTTCCCTTTCAGTGAATTTCCACCCCCACCCCAAGAGTCCAAAATGCCATCCTGAAAACTGGCTTCGGTCAGAACCCCAAACCATCAACTATGAAACTGAATGCTTGACCCGCAATTGTGGGCATGGTTTAAGTCTCCTTCCTCAGGACATCTCTGGTTCCCAGGTAAGTCATCAGTTACAAATAAACAGTTGGAAGGAAGAGTGTTGCCCAACAACACATACCAAATGTTGCACACTCCCTCAGCTCCTGGCCAGCTGAGATTCAGATACAGATACACAATGTATTTCATTTCTTATTTACACAAGTGACTTTACAGCTATACACAGCACCTACAAACTCTAACTGTGGAGCTACAATAGCACAAACACAAAAGCAGATATGTCCATTCAGATTTTCCTCCCTAATTTATCATAGTTTCTGGGAACAGAGTTAGCTTTTTTTTTTTTTTTAAATCTATTGTTTCAAAGTTTCTGGGAATTTTATCTCTGAAAAGAACCAGACATGGATGATCCTTGAAGGGATGTTAAGTGAAAGAAGCCAAACAAAAAAGGACAAATATTGTGTTAATCCACTTACATAAAGTACCTGGAGTCGTCAAATTCATAGGGGCAGAAAATAGAATGGTGGTTGTTAGGAGTTGGAGGAAGGCGAATGGGGAAATACTGCTTCTCAAGTAGAGTTTCAGCTTGGAAAGATGAAAGAAGTTCTGGAGGTGGATGGTGGTGGTGGTTTCACAACTTAATGCCACTAGACTATACTCCTAAAAATGGTTAAAATGTAATTTTTATGTTATGTCTATTTTATCATAATAAAAAATAAAGGAACTTATCGAGCACTCTTTTAAAAAGTTAGTGTCTGGGGCAGCCCGGGTGGCTCAGTGGTTTAGCGCCGCCTTCAGCCCAAGGTGTGATCCTGGAGTCCCAGGACTGGACAGGCATGGAGCCTGCTTCTCCCTCTGCCTTGTGTCTCTGCCCCCCTCTCTCTCTCTCTCTCTCTGTGTGTGTGTGTGTGTGTGTGTGTGTGTGTGTGTGTGTGTTTCTCATGAATAAATAAATAAAAGCTTTTTAAAAAAAATTTTTAAAATTAAAAAGTTAATGTCTGACTCAGCTCAGGTCATGATCTTAGGGTCCTGGGATCGAGTCCTGCATTGGGCATCCTGCTTAGCAGGGAGCCTGCTTCTCCCTCTCCCTCTGCTATTCCCTCTGCTTGTGCTCTATGGCGCTCTCTCTCTCTCTCAACTCTCTCTGTGTCAAATAAAAAAATAAAATCTTAAAAAACAAAACCAAAAACAAAAAAACAGGCAACTGCAAAGGCACTGTGAATGGGGTTAAGGAATTGTTCCAGTTTTGGGTCCAGGGTGAAATGATTTGCCTGGGATGCTGAAGAATCACTACCCCTGGCAAGGCTAAGTTGAGTATGAAGAAGGCTGAAGAGAAGAAACACTGTTTTTATTTATTTATTTTGGCATGGTGTATAGTAATGATGACCCCTCTCAGAAATGCAGCATTTCAGCTTTCAAAGCATTTCCACAAGTGATCTAACTTGCTGTCATAACAAGCCTGGGAAGTGAAAGGATGGGGTTCAGACTCCAGGTCTACAAAGGGGGAAGGCACCCTGCCCCATGGATGCTCTCAGCTTCCTCAGGGAAATGACACCCCATTTGCCAACGAGGAAACTGAAGCTCAGACAAGTGAACTGACTTGCCTCAAATCCATTACTACCGAGCAGAGACTTGACCCCATCTCTTGACTTACTACCTAGCGTTCTTCCCACAAGCATGAATTAAAACACAATGAAACTGCAAAAGTAAAACAAAAACAAAAAAAACATAATTTCTAACTAACTGTGTCAAAGAATGAAAGAATCCCTAGCCAACATTAGAACTCGAGAGAAAACAGGATATAATTTGGAGATATATTTTAAGCTTTATAAAATCCTCCCACCCCCGCCTCTGAGTAGGAAAGTGGGTAAAAACAGAATCTGGGGTGAGAAGTCATCTGATTCATCCATGATGCGGTGGAGAAGACTCTGTAAGCAAACACCCTGCATTTATTTCAAGTACTGTGTCTCATTTTGCCAGCCTTGGCAGCCAGCCCACTGCGTTTGCTTCAGGGGCAAACGCCCTTCTTTGGAGTCATGGTCAGAGTGCTATTTTGGGATGATAAAAGTGGCCCTAAAACATGAGGCCGTTAAGCCAGAATTTAAAAGGACAGACATGGGGCACCTGGGTGGCTCAGTGGCTGAGCATCTGCCTTCTGCTCAGGGGGTGAGTCCCGCATCAGGCTCCCCTGACTGTGTCTCTGCCTCTCCCTCTGTGTCTCTCATGAATAAATAAATAAATAATGTCTTTTTAAAAAATAAAAATAAAAGGACAGATACACGCAAAGGACGGATGAAGCCATCCGGCTACCGTGGTATGCCAGGGGTTAAGCATCCAGATGTGTCCAGGGCCTCGCCTGGCACAGCGCAGCCTCACCCGCAGAACATCATCCCTGTGTCCTGGCCTGTTCCGGGAAGCGGCTCAAGTCGCCTGCAAGAGAAAGCACGTGGTCTCAGAGGTGAACCAGGGACAGCCTCCGAGGTGCCAAGGGTTTATCTGAGCAGCCAAGTGTACGCTGACAGACAGGTCTGTGTGTGCTGGAGGAGCTAGTTGCACAGCTCAGATGAACGACTCGTTGCGGAATTCACCCACAAGGGGAAGTGAGTTAATGACTGGGGCGGTTCAACCTTCTGCCTAGAAGCGTCATCGAGTCAGCTTGTAAAGCCTGGCACCCCAGATATGTTTGCTCACCCAAATGTGGTTCTGTGCGGCTACAAGACATTTCCAAGAGGGAACGCTCACAGAGAAGAAAGTTCTTAGGCTTTCTCTGTGCCAGGGCCAGGGCCAGTGGCCTGAGCCTGACAGCTGGCCCAGGCGTGGTCAGATCTGCTGACGAGAAAGCCCAAAGCTGCCGCCAGCATCTGCTCCACATCTGGGGCTTGTGACTCATCAGCCGCCCTCTCCCACAGCCTTGCGTTCTCAGGCAGGCCTCAGCGTGCAGGCCTCAGCGTGCAGGCCCCACCGAGCCGAGGCCCCAGTGCCCAGACTCGTTCCTCCACCCAGGGCCTATCAGGATTTGTCCTTATCTCCAATGCTTGCCCCCCGCTGCCCTGAAGACTCGGCCTGGTCCGCCAGCTCAGGTCCAGGGCAAACTGCCCAGACCACCCCAGAGCCAGCCCGCGCTGTTGTAAGAGGCTCCCGGGCTGAGTCCTGGCCCTTTAAATTCAGCAGACCCATGCCCCCACCCCCACCCCCCCATGGCCAGCTGGCCCACCAGAGTGAGCCACAAAGCAGCACCTGTTCTAGGCCAATCCTGTTTACCCTGGACCTACTATTTTTGCTCTCACCTCCCCGTTCTCAGATTCCTGGCTCCGTATCTCAGCTGCCATAGCTGCTTCTGGCCCCTTCACGTTGGTGACCCTTTGGACTTCCCCTTTTAGATCACAGCCTCTCGCATGTTTCTGACTCAACTTGCTCTGCAAGGCTGGCTTCCCTCCTCATCTCAGGTGAGGACCCCATGAATCAGCCCCCCAGCCCCTGGGTATGCCTTCAGCGCGGATCATTCCCAGGACAGGCAGAGGGTGAGGATCTGTTCCTATGGTCCCTGCCTGCTTCGGACCCTCAGCCTTACTTTGCCCCCCAATTCCAGCAGCTGGGGGTTCCCTTCTCAAGCCCTTGGCTGCTGAGGGGGCTTCATCAGGAAACCTGGACCCTGCCTATTTCCTAAAATCCCTCCCTCACAGGGAAAAGCTCTGCCCTGGGCTCAGCTCCTGATTTCATGCTGGCCTTGCCTGGACTTCACCCACCCACCCCACCCCACCACCGCCACCACCCACCCCACCACTGCCCCCACTGTCTCACAGTGATGGAGCGAGGCACTCAGGCCTCTCGGGGAGCAGAGATCTTAGAGAAGAGGGCAACCCTACCTCATGCAGAGCCCGGAGAGAGCACAGAGGCTGGGGAGTCTCGCATCTGTCTGCAAACGTTTCTGTCTAAGGTTTAAGGTTACTTCGGAAGGGAAACGTAATGAAGCCTCAGAAGGCAAGGCACTTGCCATCTCGGGCCCTTGTTTCCTACTCTCAAAATTGTGTGTATGGGCTGGGGGAGGGCATGTTGTTCCTGATATCTCAAATAATCATCCAGTTCCAAGTCCTTGGAAGTTAAGAGTGGCCCCATATGGCTCAGACCGTTTCCTTCATCTGTCAGACTCCAGGTGTGACTTTAGCGAAACGTCTGTCATGGACATTCTCTACCAATGAACATATGAGTCCAGGTTCTCCTACTCCCAACCTCTCATTCCCTCCACTCCAGAAGGTGCAGAAACAAGGGCCAGAGCCAGCCCATGTTCCTCCCTTTCTTCTCTCCAGACGCTCATCATCCCCTTCCCTAGAGGCTTAGGGACCCGAAGATCAAATTCCCCTAAAAGCTCAATTGGCCACTTGATTTTCTTTTCCTTAAGCCAGCTGTTTTACCAACATGCACTGTGATGAAATGGTGAGGAGCAAGATGTTGGCCCCTGGCCCCCAGGGGGATTCCTGCTTTGCCATTGATGTGATGTGACCCTACACAAGCAAATTAACTTCTCTATGCCTGTTTCCCCACCTCTAAAATTGGGATACTAATAGTCCCTCCCTCACTGCATTGTCATGAGGATTATAGGAGCATATGCAATAAATGGTGACGCTGTAAGCTCTTATTGATCACTCTATGTCAGGCCTTATGCTAAATACTTAACGTCCAATAACTCATTTTCCCTAAGCAAAGTAAAACAGGAACAGAAGGATCATTCCATAATTATGATGTACATTATTGCTAATTAAACATTAGTAGTAGTAATTAAATGTATTTTATTTAATATTAATTTAAAATATTGTTAATTAAACATTGTGCCCATCAGCAGGAGTTAAAACACATTGCCAACACTCATCACAATTCCTGTTACCCCAAAGAATTACATTGTTTTTATTTTTTAGTGCTCTCTCTACTGGTCTTGATAAGGTTTATATAAAATAAATACTCACACCTGGTCAAAAAATAAACTGAGTTTGGGGCACCTGGGTGGCTCAGTTGATTATGTGTCTGCCTTGGCTCAGGTCATGATCTCAGGGTCCTGGGATGGAGCCCTGCATCTTTCAGACTCCCTGCTTAGCAGGAAGCCTGCTTCTACCTCTCCCTCTGCCCTCCCCATGCCTGCTCGTGCTCACTGTCTTTCAAATAAATAAATAAAATCTTCAAAATAAAGTAAAATGAAGTAAACTGAGCTTTTAAAACTTAGGGAATTTCTCCATTTGAATACAAACCCAGTGTGTAAAAATGAAAAAAAAAAAATGAAGTACCCAGAGAACAGAGATTCCATGGGGGCCGTGATAAGGACATGAGCCTGTGTCATAGTGTCAGGGTATTAACACAATTCTGTGCGTCTCTTTCGATTTACCCAGGTTTATAATTTAATAAATTATATTAAATAAAATATTAATGTTGCTGTATAGTCTTTGAAGTTATTTCAATGACTGCAGAATAACCCATTTAGTTAATTACTATAATTGAGCTGACCTCATTATCGCATATTGGCAGGGTTTTTTTACTATTATAAATAATCCTGTAGTACACGTCTTGGCACAAACGACTCTTTTCTTTCTTTTAGATTATTTCCTAAACTAATTCTCAGAAATGGGGTTATGGGGTCAAAGAGGCTACTTAAAACTCTAAATGCCTCCATCATCTCATGCATCCCTGCTCAGTTAGCGGAGAATTCCATTTGAGGGAGGAAACACTCCTGGGGAAAGCAGGAAGGAGATAGGAATTAGCATTTGCTGTTGAATGCCAGGCATCATGCTGGCTTCAAACTGAATGATGTGCCACCATCCTGACCTGCCCACCCTTAGCATCACTGATGTTGTGGCCATTTATGAAGACATTTGCCAAGCAGTACATTAGAAGTTTTGTTCGTTCGATTTCATTTAATCCTTATAACCATGCTCTGAGGAAGGTATTATCTCCATTTTACAGAAGAGGAAACAGGAACTCAGGGAGATTAAGCCAAGGTTGCACAGCTAACAAATGGAAGAATCTGGGTCCAAGTTGATGCTTTGTCTGCTCTTCCACGTTGTGCTCCAGGCTTCCTCCACACACACCCCCTCCCAGCCCTGTATTTACAGATGGGATTTTTCATTATCTGCTCTGTGTGGATGGAGAGGATACTGGAGAAGGGGACAGGGAAAGGTCAAGCTGCAAGACCGCTTGAAGATGGATCCTCAGGGCTCTCTGCCCACAAACTATTTCCCTTTTCTTTCTTGCTGGTGAAAAGCATAGTATTAAAGGACATGCACATTATTCCAAAGAGAGAGCTGCCTGTAAATAAAGGACACAACACCTATCAAAGATGCTGACTTATCAAATATCTTTTGAGGCTAAGTATCTCTCAGAACAGGTATTTCTGAACCTGAGCACACAGACTGAGCCTATCCTTGGGTTAAAATGGTTCTCCCAAGGGACTATTTGACTTGGCCCACCGTTTATAAACTTTGCACACATTTCAATATCTCATTTAAATCATCTAACCTCAGGGGCACTTAGCTGGCTCAGTCGGTAGAGCATGCAACTCTTGATCTCAGGGTTGTAAGTTTGAGCTCCATGTTGGGTACAGATATTGCTTAAAAATGAAATCTCTTAAAAAATAAAAATAAATCATCTAACCCCAGTCTATATTCATTAGAGACTTTTTCTCTACCAAAGGAGACTTGCATTATTTTTCCCTCATATTTTGAAATAGTGTCTTTCCCATACTGAATACTGTCACAAACACATTGGATTCATAAAATTCCAGATGTTGTTCCATGATGCATCTAATCAGGAATACCCTGGCTATCTCAGGACTATGCAGGCACAAGCTACAGTCAGAGAGGGTTATGGAAAGACAGGGGCTGCCACCTGCCCAATGAGAACAGATTTAATGAAATGAATAGTTTAGAAACTGCTGCTGAGTGTGGCAGGAGATCATCTCCATGGTTCCAGGAGATGAGTTTTACAGTATACTGAACTGCACAGACCATGTATTCATCAGGCCTCTTTCAGATGCAAGTGTGGAAATCTGACTGGCTGAAGCAGAGGGGAAATTTATTGGTCCCTAGCTGAAAATTCTAAGGGTAGTTGTCAAGTGTAACTGGATCCAAGTGTGTCATCACTTAAATTTTTAAAAAGAAATGCATCACTTAAATGGTGTCATCGGGACTGCATCCCCATCTCTTTACTCTGTTTTCCTCTCTCTGGAGTGATGACAAGAGGACCACCAGCACAACAGCTCCAAGCTTCTTTTCCACAGAAATCCCAGTGGAAGGAGAGTACCTATTTCCTAATTTTTCCATCAAAAGTCCCAGGACTGACTGTCAATTGGCCTGAATTGGCTCATGTGCTGAACATTTCAGCTTGACCTTCACATCCACTCTCCACCTTCTCTCTTCTCTAAACTGAGAGGCTGGCCTGTGTGGATGTATCAGTACCTTTTTTTCCCTATGGTTTCTTTTGGGTATTGTCGTAGGAAGGCCAGCAAGAGACTGGAGAAAGAGAAAAGAATAAGATGAAGATGTTCATTCCTCTCAGTTCCCTCAGCAAGAGTCTACACGGATTAGCTATGTCTCATGGTCAATAATACAGATCCTGCCTCAGCTCTCTCTACTCATCCTTGTCTCTCTGAGTTCAAGTAATGGTTCTTCAAGCTCACCTCTACAACCTATGTGTGCTACAAACACCCCACTATGAGTAACCCCAGGAACTGCACTTTCACTTAGGGTTTTCTTATACACTGCCCACACCTCTGGGGGAAGGTTATTTGATAACCCAATTTGAGAGTTTCATCTGTTTCCAGGATCCTGACTAATAACAGCTAACATGCCCTTATCAAATCCATGTTTCTCATTGACAAGCCTGAGTCACATGCCTACCCATGAAACAGGTCTGAAATCAGCTCCAATCACTGGAGAGGAGGAGGGGTAGTCCCCCATAGGGACAGGCAAGAACAACCTATGATCACTATGTTTAGCAAAGTAGATAAAAAAGAATTCTACTTATTAGCAAGTAGCAGGAATACTCAAGTTTCTTCAGAAGCAGTACCCACATATAAGTAAGGATGAGTTTCAGAGAATAAATGTATGCTGAAACAGCAATGAGCATGCCTTTCATCCACGTACATGCAAAGCAATGCCTCCAAAATAACTGGCCACTCATTTTCTGAGCTCTGGGCTGTTGACAACTCTCTTCTGAAACAAATTGAAATTTCTATCATTGATTCACGTTGAAATGTCATGAAACAGCTTAGGCCTTGGCTGGCTAAGCAATAAAGCAGGTCTTCTTGGCAGCTTAAATGAGCTGCCCCTGACAGCAGAACAGGGGACAAGGCATTAAACATTGCCAAGAATTGGCAATTTGGAAGCTGCCTAGTGACAGAAGTGACAAGGCCAAAATCATAACCACTTTGAAAAAAAATGACATCAGTTGAAGGATAAATATAAAACAGGATAAATGCAACCTCATCACAGAGCTCTAAGTGCTTAGATGAACATTTAGCCCGATAACCCATGAAACCCCTATATCTTAGCAGGGAATTCTTTTCATATTGGTAACCCCCGTTATAATGATTGGCTCTGCCATGGATGAGTCACCTTGCAGGTAAAACCATGGCCCACTACTCCGGGAAATTTCAGTCCTGTACCATAACCCAACAAACTAGTAGTACAGATGTTAGTTACCTCATCCCCCAGCTCCATGTTTTGATGGAGACCCCACTGTGCCTTTTTAATGGACAGGTTGACATTTAATGACATGTGAAGGATATCTGGCTTTCCTGGTCAGTTTTCTCAATAAAGCCCCAGATGCTGCTCTGGTTGGAGTTCAGGAAGATGCATTTGCCCAGAAGACACACTACCTGAACCAGTTGTGTGCCTCTCCTAGTCCCACTAATAAGTCCTTTGTGATACAATCCCATAGCAGGTCTCTTCACCCATAAGGACACCTGCATATCAGCTCTCTGGGGGAGAAGGGATCTAATGAATTGATTTGCTTCAGTGCCTCTTCAGTGCCTCTGGAATGAAGAGTTTGGGGACCAGAAAGAGAAGGAATCCAAGGCTCTAGCGAGTGGAATCCCTTAGCTACACTCAGGCCCTGGGGCTATAACCGAAAGATCATGGCATTAGAGGCAAACAGACCAGGTTTGAGTCCTAGTATGTAACCTTGAGCAAGACACACCTTTATGAGTTTTTCCTTCTCATCTAGTAGTATCGTTTCCCAGACACTAATGATGATAATCATTACAAACAAACAAAAAAGTTGAGTTCTTTGAGCCAAGGCAGATCTGATTGGTATTTCCAAGGACATTACTGCTTTGAAGAATCCATTGAAACAAAAGTTATCAATAAACCTAGAGGACAGGTGCTTTCCCGCTCGCGTCGCAGCCTCCGGTGCCACCGCCGCCTCGGCCATGCCCAACATCGTGCTCTTCAGCGGTAGCTCGCACCAGGACCTGTCCCAGCGCGTGGCCGACCGGCTGGGCCTGGAACTGGGCAAGGTGGTCACTAAGAAATTCAGCAACCAGGAGATCAGCGTCGAGATCGGTGAAAGTGTGAGGGGCGAAGATGTCTACATCATCCAGAGTGGCTGTGGAGAAATCAATGACAACCTGATGGAGCTCCTCATCATGATCAACGCCTGCAAGATCGTCATCATCTAGGGTGACTGCCATAATCCTGTGTTTTCCATACGCCCAACAGGATAAGAAGGACAAGAGCCGAGCTCCGATTTCTGCAAAACTTGGGGCCAACATGCTCTCGGTCGCTGGGGCCGATCACATCATCACCATGGACCTGCATGCTTCTCAGATCCAGGGCTTCTTTGACATCCCGGTGGATAACCTGTACGTGGAGCCCGCCGTCCTGCAGTGGATCCGAGACAACATTGCTGAGTGGAGGAACTGTATCATTGTCTCGCCCGACGCCGGGGGAGCCAAGAGGGTCACATCAATTGCAGACAGGTTGGATGTGGAATTCGCCTTGATTCACAAAGAGAGGAAGAAAGCAAATGAAGTGGACTGGATGGTTCTGGTGGGCGACATGGAGGACCGCGTGGCTATCCTCGTGGACAACAAGGCTGACACCTGTGGTACCATCTGCCACGCCGTGGACAAGCTGCTCTCCGCCGGAGCCACCAAGGTTCATGCTATCCTTACACACAGGGTCTTCTCTGGGCCAGCTATTTCCAGAATAAACAACGTCGCCTTTGAGGCTGTTGTCGTCACAAACACCATTCCACAAGAGGACAAAATGAAACACCGTCCCAAGATTCAGGTCATTGATATCTCGATGATCTTGGCAGAGGCGACCCGAAGAACGCACAACGGTGAATCCGTGTTCTACCTGTTCAGCCACGTCCCGCTATAGGCCCGGACGTGAGGTGTGGAGCAGGCCTGCTCGGCCGCTGCCTTGTGTGCGTTTGCCTGACTTTAGTTTTAGGACCCAGCAATTCTAGGATAATGCAAAAGCATCCGATCTTTGTACCCTGCAAGATCCATTGTTTCCCCCCCCTCTCAAGCTCAAGACCATTTATTTCTGGTTTGGGAGGGGGAGGAGGAGGGTGATGGTTATCTGATCTTTTTACGTGAACTGTCCTTAAGGTTATCCTGGCTCATTCTGACAGGTGACCTTTCTTTTGTTTTACCGGTGCTCTGAGGCCACAACTTTCAAGTATGTAATTCCACTGCGGAAGGTCATAGTCTGTCTGTTTCAAGGTCGCCAAAGGTGACTTCAGATTAAAGCCTTCTGTGTAAATACTGATAATGCCTATGGACATTTGGGTCAAACCCTGTATACAGAATTAGCCTTTTCCTTCCGGGGGCACCTTAGAAAATTTATAATAGCCTGAATTCGGTTGGGTTTTTTTTTTTTTTCTTTTTAGTAACCAGGTTTCAAATAAACCTTTGTTACCATGCTCAATTTGACTAAATTTTAGGTAGCTTCAGAGGGCTGCTGACACATTTACTTTCTGATAAACATTAGACATTATCACAAGCAATTCAGTATTTCTTTGGTTGTTGTTGCCACTGCTGAGAAACTGCCACTTACCTGAAATGTTGTGTTCTGAAATTCCAAAATTATGTTCAGCAATGGATCTGATTGAGAAAGTGTCAAGATAGACCCTACAGGCTCGCTGGTGCCACTCACGTTGCGCTCTGGCCATCCGAGGCGGACAGCTCTGCAAGAGGCAACTCCGTCCTACCATCTTGTTTTATGGCCTCTTTTTAGCTCTAGCTTTTACTTCGCCTTCTTTCCAATAATCTCACGTTGTGGGTTTCCACCAAAACCAAGACTCCCCTAAGTTCCCTCAGGCTTACTAGTGTCTGTTCGTTATTTGTTTCTGACATCATAAAAAGGCGAATTTTTGTGAGTACCACCAAATGCATATTTAAACATCACCTCCTTCGTTTTGGTTTAATAGTCTTTTGCCTTTTGTAATCAGAAGTAGCAGGTCTCCTAGACAACTGATTGTTTTAACTAAAACTGTTACATGAAAAATGTGGGTAAGAAAGGTCTACAAAGAAAGTACAAATAAGTAAGCATTAACTGCTTCATTGAGATAAGGTTCAAGTGGTGGCCCAAGAGTGATCATGGAGGCAAAGATTGCTTTATCCACAGATGGCGCTTGACAGCATCTTCCTCAGTGGGGTGTATCCCTAAGGAGAGCATTGACTCCCCATGAGTCTTGGTAGATGTGCACTGGTGCACAACCAACTAAATTCTTCAGCCCGGAAAGAAGAGAATTTGCCTGCGTAGACAAAGGCTGAGAATAATAACAATCCCTCCCTTCTGCTGAATCTTAAAACTTGAAGAGAGGAAATTGCCTGATCTAAGTTTTGAAGGTGGCAAAACCAAATCTTTAAGTCACTTGAACAGCAATTTTTAAGATTTCAACCTTCAGTCCAGCAGAGGTTGAAGTTTAGCAAGTATCGTGTTGGTCATTGCGGAGACCAGCATTTTGCTGTACCTTAAAATGGTTTTTGAGAAAAACAAAGGCATTCTAGCCTGGTAGAGTCAGCTATGCGATACCGATTGGCTCTACCTAGGAAGAGTTGACTTGATAATGTAAAGAGCCTCCTTAGATGTATGTAATTTTTAGTTTTGATAAATGAGTGATATCTATTTCTTGGAATTTCTATGCAAAGACAGAGGAAAATGTAGTTACAGACACACACAGGTAGACGGCCTTAGCATATAAGCGTAGACATGCTGACATGACTGACGAGAGGTGATTTAAACGTGATCATTTCGTCTTCAGATTGAGTCTAAGATACAGAGCTAGTTTTAAAATAATCCTCAGATAAAAATCTGCATTGTCATTATTGAATTAACTGACTTTTTCTCTCTTTTGGCCTCACTTTTTGTTTTCAAGTAGTTCTGCTATATTCACTAATTCGACTAGACTTGGCCATACATGGGGGCGATGTAGACCTCAACCATTTGATGGTTTCAGCTCCAGAAAGATGATGGGAGTGGCCTCAGGAGCAGCCCGATCCCAGAGCTTGCGTATCCCTTGCCCCTGGTATGCAAGCATTCAGGGAAACCACCAAGTGTATCGGTTATGTCCATCTCTGCCGAATGGGGCTAGACTCATGGATATCTAGCCGAAAAGGGGAGCCAGAGAAGTACACGCATACCAAAGCTGCTCTTCCTCCAACTTAAATGATATTAATCAACCTGCAGATAATTCATACTAGAACTTGCCTTTGTTTAGATGTCCCTTAGATTCAGGAATGTATCATTTGCAGTGCTTGTATTGGTTTAGAATATATGATTTTAAGATCATCCACCACTGTACTAAAACATTTCAATAAAATCATGCTACTTCTTTCTATCAAAAAAACAAAAATAAAAAAAAAATAAACTTAGAGGACAGAATAGAGTAGGGGAACCATGGCATAAAGGTTTCCTCTCACCAGCCATCTCTGCTTGATTCATAGTAGCTCCCTAGAATGCCATATTCACAAGGATTCTGAGGTCATATCTGGGGTCAGTGAGAAAGAATATCCTGATCAATGGGTACAAGAGGAGAGTATGGCCCCATGCATGACATCCTTGTTTTGGTGATTGAGAACATTGAGCTTGAAAGTCAATTCTTGGAAGAAGTAATGTGTATTAGTTCTTCCTTCAATATCAATTTAAAAAAAAACACAATTTCAGTAGGTTAAAAACATAAACACTTATTTCTCACTATAAAGAGCACAAGTCTATGGGTTGGATTAGTTCTGCTCCACATTTCTTCTTATTCCAGGACCCAGGCAGAAGGAGCAGCCCTCATTTGGGATGTGCTGTGCTCATGGCAAAACAGAAAGTTAAATGGCCAAGCCAAATCAGAAAATCACATTTAAAACTTCAGACATAAGTCATATTATTCACATTTCATTGGCCAAAGCAAGCCATATGGCCAAACTCCAAGTCAATGGGGAAGGGATATATAATCTCACTGGCAAGGAAATAGTGAGAAATAGCAATCAATGCAATTTACCAGACAGTGTTTGAGAAAGACAGTATGAAGATGCTGTATCTTTTTTTTTCTTATTTATTTTCTACAATACACATGTAATATATGTGTAATTTTTTTAACTTTTTAAAACTTAAAAAAAAATTTTTATTTTTTAAATTTTGCAAAATGCTAGTGTGTCTTTTGAATATTGGGATTCTCTTAGGAGGGAGCAAGTTGATATCTAGAGAGAGGAGGGTGCCTATGCTAATGGAAGTAGGAGAAGGGGGGAAATGCACAAAGCTGGGAGCTCTTCAGAGAATATATGAGTTTATAGGAAGAGATAGTAAGGGAACTAAGTACATAACAAGTAGATCCACAAGGGAAGAAAAGCACCAACAGCAAGTAGATAGCAAGTGAAGTGGTGTCCATTTGGATAAGCTGATCAGATTAAGACCTGCCGAAGGCACAGAGGTATCAGAAGATGGAGATAAAGTGATGAATGAATGTTAAAGATGACTGAAAGGCAAGAGCTATAGAACACTGTAAAAAAAAAAAAAGTACAGGTGTCTTCTAAGATAGCAGTTTCCACAGGGAGTCAGGCATTATTAAATCATTGAATATTTATCAAGTACCTACTAGGCAGTGGGTACCATGCCAGGTACTGCAAGTACACTGGTGCACAACAAAAGAAACACCATTTCTGCACTCACAGAGCTCAGAGTTGAATGGTAGAAAAGCGCAACAATCAGGGGAGCCAGGCTGGCTCAGTCAGTAGCACATGTGACTCTTTATCTCAGCATTGTAGATTCGGGCCCCATATTGGGTATAGAGATTACTTTAAAAAAATAAAATAAAATCTTTAAAAAAAAAAAGAAAAGAAATGAGCAAAATCAAATCTCAAGTGGATACTCAAGCTTCCTTCAATCTGATAACACTTCCCCAGGGTATTCACTTTCTATCATTCAAAACAACTCCTTCCCAAAAACAAAAACAAAAAAAACAAAACAAAAAAAAAACTCCTTCCCATGTGCTCCCTCTTCAAATTCATTATTCCCAATACCTCTGCCCCTACATACAGTACATAACCACCCATTATACCTCATTTAAAAAAAAAAAAAAGAAAAAGCAATTAACAGTTCCCCCTAATCTTTCCACCACAAAATACCAACATACCCACTGAATACACATTCTCTTTGCTTCCGTTTTCTTATGATGGGCTCCCTGCCCAAACTCAGTCCCATCTCTCTTGCATTTGGTCTTCACTCCTGCAGTTATGCTTTTTCTCTCTTGCGTCCTACCTCCCTACTGTATCATTTGCATTGTTACACAAACACGTTGAAGGTGGAAAAGGGAAAAGGGAGAATTTTCTCTTCCAAGAAGAATCTAGAAATGAATGAGAATGCGTTTTGGTTGTCACAATGAGCTGGGAGCCCTAGTGGCATTTAACGGGGGCCAGGGATGCTGTGTTCTATCTTATTTAAAAAGGAACTCTCCCTTAAACCTCGCAACTTCCACTAACTATTACCAACTACTTCTCAAACTCTCCAAAGAAGAACTTCTTGATAGAGTTTTCTCTGTACGTTGTCTCCACTTCTTCATCTCACAATCTTTGGCCATCCACTCCAATCACATTTCTGGCCCCACCACTTCCCAGAGACTGCTCTTATCAGAATTATCAGTGATTCCCCACATTGCCAATACAGGGATCACTGCTTGGTCCTCATCTTATTTGATGTCACTGATCCAACTAACTACTCCTTCCTCCTTGAAAGGTTGTCTAAAATGGGTATCTCGAACTAACAAAACCAAACACAATACTCTTGATTTATTCTTCACCCCAAACAAACCATCAGTCAACAAAATAAAAAAAGACCTGCTACTATGCTTCCTTTTGTCTCAGGAAAGGCAAAGATATTCAAGCCAA